ATTAGGGTGAGAGTTAAAGTGGGTTTCTTTTCAGTTATCCTGTCTGAGGTTCACATAGCTCATGGAACCTGTGGATTTAGATTGTTCATCAAATTAGAGACTTTTTCAGCCATTATGTTTCCAAATGCTTTTTCAGTCCTATTCTTTCTTCTTTCCTCCTGGGACTGCCATGATATGAGGTTGGATTTCTGTTGTTGTTGTTCTGCAGGTCTCTGAGGCTCTCTTTATTTTTATTTATTTATTTTAGTCTGTTTCCTCTCTCTGTTCAGACTGAGTAAGTTCTCTCAAACTATCCTCAAATTCACTGATTCTGTCCCATCATGTCTACTCTCATTTTGAGCCCACCCAGCCAATTTTCTATTTTCGTGGCATTTTTCAGCTCTATGATCAACACTTGGTTATTTTTGTATCTTCTATTGCTTTACTAAGATTTTCTAGTTTTTTGTTCTCCTCAAAAGAATTTGTAATTGCTTGTCGAAACATTTTATGATGGGTTCCTTAAAATTCTTGACAGATAATTCCAGTATCTCATCTATTTCAGCGTTAGCACGGATTGATTGCCTTTTCTCATTCAGGATGTGATTTTCCTGGTTCGTATTATGATGCGTGGCTTCCTGTTGCAGCCTGGACAGTTTGGCTGTTATGTTAGAAGATAGGAGAGGCTGTTGCAGTTTTTATTTTCACAAGCGGTCGCTCTGTTTAGGTCTGGTATGCGGGTCCTGGCCTACTTCCGTGGGCAGTGGCTGCAATGACTAATTTTCAGAGCTTACATGGTGCTCTTTTCATCTGTTGGGTTCATTTAATGCATCTGGGGCTTCCACTGGCTCTTGTTAATGCTGCTTGAGGGGGAAGAACGAGCTCCCAGAGGAAAGGTGCCCCGGTACCTTTATGCAAAAGAGGAGGTTTTTTCCAAGCATGTGGGAAATGAGTACTTCTTGACGGGGCTCTGGCGGCGAGATCCTTATTCCTGGTGGCTCCAGCCATGTGGTGCCTCAGGAGGGGCCTTGAGAGCAGGAGAATCTCAGCACTGTGAGGACAGACAAGTTTCTCAGGCTTCCTATGTGTCTGCTAGTGTTGTTTCTTTCTGTTTTTTTTTTTTTTTTCTTCTGGATCTAATTCTTCAAAGCGAATGTTACTCTGTGAGAACATTCTCAGAGGCCCACCTGGACACCAGGGATGTATCATTCTGCTTCTGCTTGCTTAAGTTATATCCTAAAGATCTGAAATATCCAAAATCACATCTCGAAGTGACTCTTCCACTACACTGATGTAGGGGGAGAGGCATGCAGGTAGCTATTTAAATCTGCATCAAGAGCAGCAACTTCTGTCTTTTCTGCTGCCTGTTGTGAATATCTCATTAAGGGTATTTTGCTATCACATTGGTTTGCATGTAGAATTATTACTGCCCCCTCAGCCCCCGCCCAACACCCTTACCCATCCTGCTTCTTCAGTGGTTAAGAGCACATCCTCTGGAGTCCATCCAACTTGGGTTTAAATGCTGATCCTGCTGTTTATTAGCCTGTGCATTCTGAACAAGTCTCTTACTTCCCTAAATCTCATCTAAAAAATGAGGACAGTAATAGGGTAAAGTAAAATTTAATAACAACATTTCTGTTAAGTCAGCATAGTACCTAGCTGGTGGCAAGCACTCAGCAGATGTGATGAATTAGCTAGGTGCACATCCTCATCAACATCATTATCATTTCGTCTCCAGTTTAGAGATAAACCAAAGCTTTGAAAGTATAAGTAACTGAGTCAGTTTGCCCATGTAAGTGTCAAGAGAGCTGGAATTCAAATCCAAGTCGGACTTTTTACAAATCCTCTTTGCTAACCATTGTACATAACCATGCCACCAATGATTATCTTGGCGAGACTTGAGTCTCCATGGGAGCATGGGTTTGTCAATCCATGTTCAGGATATGCAGAAATACAAGAATGTACAATTATATGATCCAGACATATTCAGTTTTCAATTAATTATTATTTATAGTGGTAAATATTTTTATAGAGCTATCTATGCATAAAAATAAAAATAACCCACCTGGTTTAATAGAACCTGATCACCAAACTTTGTAAAAGGATGACTTTTAACCCTTTTGCCCAAATACTCCTTTTTATGATGCTTACCAGTTTTTGAACTCTGATACATTTTAAAAACTGTTTTTCTTAGGCATTATGCTCTTTCATTTAAATTTTAATATAATTTGAGATGCAGTAAAAACAGATGTTTCCATTTATTGCAGTTTTCTACAAATCTTCTTCTGCATAAGAATATATAGTTTCTATAATAGTTTTGCACATTGCTAGATGAACAAGTGAGGATCGTGGTGAATTCCTGAATTTATAATTATAATGGAACAGAAGCAAATCAGGAGGAATAATTTATGTTATTACCAATTAAAGTAAAAATGGATTTATGAGAGAGACACAAATACTCCAGTTGCATTTGCCCATTTATTAAATATGGGAAAAATTCACTGATGAAAAATATAAAAAAGGAAGTTATTTCCTGTGTACACTGGGGTTCTTTATGAGTTGTTATTCTGTGGTGTAGGAGGTAAGCAGTTACTTTTTCCTCTCTCAGGCTCTGCTGATTCAGAGATTTCAAAAAACAAAACAAAACAACAACAAAAAAAACCAAACCAACTAATGGCCACATATAGATCATGAACCTATTTATGTTTTATATTTTTGAGATAGGAAAATTAGTTATTCGACTCAGCTTCTTTGTAAGTTAAATGAAAACACTATTATTTATTACATATAGCAAATAATACATAATGTTATTAGTGCATATACACATAGGCTGGTTCCACATTTGACATAGAGAGATGGAGGCAAAGGGAGAGAAGAAGAGGCTCCATTTGTGAGGACGCGTGGAGGTTGATCCTTTGGAAGGAGAAGCAAAGAGAAAGGCGTTGAGGAAAGGGGGGAAGGGGGAGGGAGTGCCTGGGGGGAGGGGGAGACAGGCAGCAGAAGAGGCGAAGACTGAGTGGAGAGAGGATGCTGGAAGGACGTGTAAGTCCCCAGAACAGAAGGGAGAAGAAAGCTAGATGGTGAAGAAAAAGAGAATAACTAGAAAAAGGGGGGGGGGAGAGAAAGAGAGAGAGAGAGAGACCACACACAAGTCTAAATCCCTGAGCATCAGAGGTTTGCTTTTACCTTAAATCTTAAGAATAAGTTGAATATGCTCAGTTTTTAGCTACAATGTTGTACATTTTGTGTCTTCCTTATGACACCTTCACCATCCCAACAGTGGGAAAGTGTGTGTCATTAACAGTACCCTTCCCCAAAAAAGCATTCTAGGCAGGTAGGACACAACCTGGACACCCTTCTCAGAACGATGATTTCTGTCTGCAGTCAGACCGTAGTCTGCAGGCTTGGCAGTCCGCCTTGCGGGGGGTGGGGCGGGAAATGGAAGCGTCTTCTGCACACTGTTCTCTGGCCCCCACCTCCACCCTTTGGTGTCTCGGAGAAGGGGTATCTTCTTTTATCATTTGATGCTTATCACCCAGAGCAGTGTGAGGGAAGAGAAAACAAATATTTCAATGAACAAATGAGAGTATTACGTACCAGAGGAGGAAATACTAGGAGAAACTTCACAGAAGATGAAGCGAACATTTCATTTCGTAAAAATTATAGCATCAAGCAAGGACTCAATTTTATTTCCTTGCCTGTACTGGATCTTAGTGAGTGGTGAAGGGGGAATGAAGTACAAGATAGACGTAGGCTTCAAAACCCAAATGTGGGGCGCCTGGGGGGCTCAGTTGGTTAAGTATCTGCTTTCGGCTCAGGTCATGATCCCAGGGTCCTGGGATCGAGTCCCACATCGGGCTCCCTGCTCAATGGGGAGCCTGCTTCTCCCTCTGCCTGCCACTCCCCCTGCTTGTGTTCTCCTGCTCTCTCTCTCTCTCTCTGACAAATAAATAAAATCTTTAAAAAATTTTTTTTGAAAAAAAAGAATAGAGGAAAATAAATTTATTGAGCACATTCCACTTGGCAGTGGAAGATGACTTAGGTTAAACGGATGTGCAGTCTTGGCTGGTCAGCTCGAGGCTGTCCTTTCTAGGTCATTCCACCCACTCTCCTCTCCAGATGTGCTGAGATACCCTACTCTGGCCCAGATAACTGTATTTGTGTAGACACATCCTAAGTGCACTTCCTTTCCTGCGGCTGCTCCTTGCCTTGGAGGGCCTCGTAGGGCTCCGAGCTGAGATAGCATCAGTCTGTTCCCTAAGGGAAAACACGAAACATCAGTCCCCCAAGTTCTCCAGTTAAAGAGCACAGAAAGGAGAGACCCTCTTCAGATTCTTTATCTTCTTACCTGAGTTCCTTTAGTTCCAGTCTGACTTGGGGGTTTATTTTCAGCTTATGGTGAACATGCCCGTTGACTGATAGTTGCTTCCTGATAATCCTGACTTATCACGTCTCGTTTACATTTTTATTTTTAAGATTAAGTGAATCGTTCCCTAGTCAGTGCAAGAACTGTATGTTCAAAGGTCTACAAACTGCTTGAAAAATGACTTACGTAAGGCCAAACAATTATTTTGATTTATTTTAATCTTCTGGACTTTTTTTCCTGAGTGTTATTTTAATGACAGTTGACTATAGTTGTTTTGACAGATGGATTTGTCCTAATTTTATTATTAAGCAGGCTGAAAGGTGTTAAACTGACTCATGAGCCCGTTTCGTGCGGTGCCTGAGTGTAATTTCATTTTGAATACAACATGTTTCCCAGGTTCATTTCTCTTGATCTCACTCTTCGTTTCATCACTGTCTTTAAAAAGTGGCCAAGCGGGGCATGGTAACAAAGATGTCCATTCAGAACGGTGAATTTTACATGGGCGGTAAACCATACTGAGATTTGCTTCTACTGATGCGGAAATTCAGCATAGGTCATGGTACCTTTCTTCTCCTCCCCGTCAGATAGTGAGTTAACTCTTTTGTGAACCTACTATGCGAAGAAGAGCACGGATTACAATTTCGTGTTCCTTCTGCAGGTGATGGAAGTCAAAGGACAGATGATCCATGTCCCGGAGTCGAACTCCATCTTATTCCTGGGCTCTCCGTGCGTGGACAAGCTGGACGAGCTCATGGGCCGAGGGCTGCATCTCTCGGACATCCCGATCCATGACGCCACCCGGGATGTCATTCTGGTTGGTGAGCAGGCAAAGGCCCAGGACGGCTTGAAAAAGAGAATGGATAAATTGAAGGCAACTTTGGAAAGAACTCACCAGGCCCTTGAAGAAGAAAAAAAGAAGACAGTCGATCTTCTGTATTCTATTTTCCCCGGTGACGTCGCCCAGCTCTTGTGGCAGGGGCAGCCCGTTCAGGCCAGGAAGTTTGACGACGTCACCATGCTCTTCTCGGACATCGTTGGCTTCACAGCCATCTGTGCCCAGTGCACCCCCATGCAGGTGATCAGCATGCTGAACGAACTGTACACCAGGTTTGACCACCAGTGTGGATTTTTGGATATTTATAAGGTAAAGGAGTTTAGTTACTCATCCACAAATATTTTATTTATTTATTTATTTTTTTAAAGACTTTTTTTTAAGACTTTATTTATTTCTTTGACAGAGAGATAGAGAGAAAGCACAAGTAGGCAGAGAGGCAGGCAGAGGGAGAGGGAGAAGCAGGCTCTCCGCAGAGCAGGGAGCCCGACGTGGGACCTGATCCCAGGACCCTGGGTTCCTGACCGGAGCCGAAGGCAGACGCTTAACTGACTGAGCCACTCAGGCGCCCCCACAAATATTTTATATATAT